ATGCCTGAGATGGAGACAGAGAAGACAACGTGCAGTGATGAAGCGGCTGGGGACTTTGGATCCAGAGAGGAAAAGGGACTGTGGGCCAAAAAATGGGAGGGGGGAGGGGGAAGTGTAGGGGGCGGGTATCTAGGATATACTCTTTGGTTGGTGGATGATGCATGGAGGGGATTGGAACCATGGCAATGAGATGATATACGATGGAATGAATGTAAAACGAAAGTTCTCTCATGTAAACTATCATATAATTCACAATAAAACATTAAAAAAAGATCACGGAGTTTTTCTATGAACTTTTGAAGCCACCTTATATGTATGCCTAAATTTCAAACAGATATTTCTTTTCTTACTCAAAATTAATAGTCATCCCTAAAATGAGCTGCTTATATCATCAACTCTTTCAGCACTTCTCATAATTCACTCTTAAGAACTAAATAAAGTAGTGATTGGAGAAGGCATTCACCAGAAATAACTTATAACATTGTAGTCCTAGAGCTTACACAGGTAACATAATGGAAATCAGTGGGGGAAAAAACAAACAAGAGTTAACACAGTTTTAACTAAGAGTCTGGACTCAAAGTTTCAAGTATGGCAAATAAATCTTTTATTATCACTTTATAAAGCAATACAGCAAGTGAATATATTATGTTGCTGTTGCTGTTGTTAAGTGCCTTTGAGTTGGTTCTGACTCATAGGAACCCTGTATAGGGTTTCTAAGGAGAACCTGATGGGTTTGAACTGCCAATCTTAGCAGTCCAATGTTCATCCTACAGCGCCACACTAGGACTACGGTTATAATACAGAAATCACAAATATGCCCACAGGATGAAAGGGAGGCAAAAACCTCCCAATGTCAAGTAAATGGATAAAGAAATTTCTAATGACAGCATCACTCCTGAACTCAAAAAGCTCCATATCTCCAACACATGAGCTGCAAGTGAGAATTGTATGTCCCAGACCTTAGAAGATGACTGAAGTCAACTCAGAGAATAACAAACACACTGAAATCAATGTGCATGTAAGTAGTCTGGTATGCATTCTTTTATGTAATGTGCTTAGAAAAATTCTTTCTAAGCTTGAATTATTCTGTATAAATGCATACATACATGCATGTATATGTAAGTAAATAAAATTTTAAGGGGCTATTTTATCCATATTACTCCAAGTTTGGACTCCTGGTGTGGTGCTGTAGAATATGCACTGGACTGCGAACCACAGGGTCAGCAATTCAAACTCATCAGTTGCTCCTCAGAAACCCTACATAGGGTCACTATGAGATGAAACCGATTTGACTGCACTTAACAACAACTCCCAACTTTATATATTCAAGCTGGCCATTAATTTTTTGTGTGTGTGAACTGAGTGATAATTTACATGGGAGAACATCTACTTCACACCGTTTCAGTGTAATGATTACAGTCTTCTCCATGCATCATCATTCAGCAGTATTTGCTTCCATTCCCTGTTTTGTTTAGTGGTTTTTTTTCGGGGTGGGGGGGGCAATAACATACACAGAAACATTCAGGAAAATGTAATAATTTAATCAGCCAACGGGCACATTCTGTAAGTCTGCCTCCTAGCTGCCAGCATCCAGTCCCTCTCTTTTCATGAGTCCAGAAATTACTTATAACTCAGCTGCTCCTTCTCTCCATGTCCTCATCTCTGACTCCCACTCTGGTGTCGTTGCTTCTTGGATAGAGTCCCGCACTCTACTTGTGCTCTTCTCTCTTGATGGTCCTAGGGTCCTCTATTTCTGTACTGTAAGATTAACTACTCCCTCATTTTTGTTACAAAATTTCTACCTTTAGAGTTGTGACAGTCACAATTAGTCATGATAGCAATTACTCACTACTGAATCTTAAGAATCTTATCCCCATCTCTTTTCACCAGACCAATCTAGACAAAACGAAAACTATTCAGTGGGGACTCTATCTTCCCCTGCACACTCTTAAACTAAACTCCCTCTTGAAAACTTGTAAGCCAGTCACTTCATGCCTTTATCACCCTCTCATTTTCAGGAGCCTGTCCCTATCTACCCTGTATAGAGAAGGGACAGGCTTGATACTTGATGTGAAGACTCCTTCCCTCCCCCTCAGTTGGTATTTTGAGCTACCACCTCCATGAGTATAGGTCAAGGTCATCAAATTGTAGCAATTTACCCTCGGTTCCTTTATCAAAAATTGTTTTGTTTTTATCTTCCGCTAGTTGAGTTCTGATTATCAAGCCATCGAGGCTAGGTCAAATGGGTACTATCTGCAAGTTTGGGCATTCTGTGCATCTCCCCTCACTTCATATCAGCTGGACGTTTCACTCTCAGCTCTAGCCTTGTATGGCTATGTCCTTGTCCATGGGCTTAGGATAGGTCTTACCACATTTCGGACCAACCAGCACTACTTCTCTCTCAGCTCCAGGTCAACCCGAGTCTATGGAACGTGGTCGAACTCAGCCCATTTCTCATTGCTCACTTTTCCCTTCTTCCACTCACCAGTAGACCAACATGGTCGCCAGCAAGTTTTCATGCCTGCCCATGTGTTCCCTTTGAGTTTCAGTCTTGGAGGGAGGTTTGTCCTGAAGGAACTTGATTGCTTGCCTTGAGGCTCTCTGGGAAAAAACTTGTTATTGTAGTAGCCAATCATACTGCTATTTTTGTTTTGGATTTTTCCTGCTGATCTTTCTTTGAAGATGTACCTTGTATTGCTCTAGCTGTTTCAGGCTAGTCTGCTTGTCCTTTCTAGTAGGAATGTCCCAACCTCAAAAGGTTCTGGATGGGGCTCAGAATTCCACCTAAGGTCCTATACATTGCAAAGGCTCCACAAGAACCCTGTATCACTGGGCAAGTCCAGTACCTTTTAGGTATTGGCCAGTAATCTTGGAAGGGATTTTTCACTAGGAAAATGAGAGCTCCTCTTGGATTTGAAGTTAGCAGAACAAAACACTGCCTGATCCTGGGCCAACCTCACTACTGTTTCCACGCTTGAGTCCATTGATGCTGCCACATGGCCAAGCCATCTGGTTGGTGGGGGGGAGGGGGTCTTCCTCTTTTTCTCTGACCCTCCACCTTACCAAACATGAGATCCTTCTCCAGTGATTGGTCCCTTCTGACAATATGTCCAAAGTATGAGAGACGAAGTTTGACCATCTTGGTCTCCAAGGAGCACTCTGGCTTCACTTCTTCCAAAACATTCAGGCATAGTATGAAATAATAGTAATAATAATAATAAAAGCACCAGATAATAATAATAAAAGCATTCTTTGTCCTTCAGAATTTCCTGATGGCACTACTCAATTCTAACTTGTATAATTGTTTTTCCCCATTTCAAATAACTCCATGCTATTTTCTGAGTTAATATTTCTTCTACTTCCCTCCCATAGAATCAACCTACTTCAAGGTTTACATTCAATGCTTATTAGAGTTATTATTTACTATACTCATAGTGAGTCATAGTTACCCTATAGGACAGAGTCAAACTGCCCCAAGGGGTATCTGAAGATATAAATCTTTATGGAAGCAGACTGCCATATACTCTTCCCACACAACAGCTGCTAAGTTTGAACTGCTGACCTTTGGTTTAGCAGCCCAGTGCTTTAACCACTGTCACTATGAGTCAGAATCAACTCAATGGCAAGGGTTTTTTCTACTATTCACTACGAGGCATCATAGTTGCTTTCATAAAGCAGTTATGCAGACATTCAATTACATCAGCTTGTCATATGATTCCTTGTTAAGAGAGTCAGAAAAGGAGAGCAATGGTGGATTAAAAGAGAAAATTCGTATGAAGGATGACAGAGCCATAGACTTGATAAGAAATTTTAGTTATTCTTTCAGAAATTCAGCAGTAAGAATTTTACTCACCAAAAACTACCCTAAAATATTTTTGTTTTTAAATGAGTTACTTACCTCAGCCTCTACTGTCAGTTGTAACTTCTTTGATATTAATTGTTTCACATCAAATTGGCCTAAGGGAAGAAAAAATATTTATGACTTTTAAGTTTTAATAATAGCATCATTATTAAATTATAAAGCTGAAAAACAAGCACATATATAGTTGACTACATAAACTATATGGAGTCCTGGCAAGGTGCTGTAAGATGAGCACTTGACTGCAAGTCAATTTTGAACCACAAGGTCAGTGGTTCAAACTCACCGGTTGCTCCTCAGAAACCCTTTACAGGTCACTATGAGTCAAAACCGACTTGTGGGAACTTAACAACAATATAAACAATGGTGCAACCAAAAAGCATTTACTTGATAAGACTTTTCTAACCACAGTGTCTTTGAAACTCCCCAAAAGACTGAGTAAGACCATGCAGATTGGGTGTATTTTCTCTTTTCCTGATAGGTCTCAGTAACATAAGGTAGCGGAAGATGCTGATAAAATTATATGATTCAGTTGTGAGTGATTATTAACAGGGTTAATTGTGATTGTAAAAACTTGGAACTCCAACATGGGGATTGGTCAACTTCGCCATTCTGCTAGGTATAAAACAAGCCATCTCAGAAACAGGAACCGGGAGGTCCAACTACCGTCAAGAAAGATGAGATACTTTGGAGTGAAGTGCATCCTTTGGACCCTGAAATCCCTGCATCCCAGAGACAGAGCTGTGACACCAGAGGAGCAGCAGCAGCAAAACTAAGAACCAGTGCATGAGACAGAACAGCAGGTTCCCAGCCCACGGAGCAAAGTAAACCTGAGAGTCGTCTAGCAGGAGGCTTGCTTATACAGTGAGTGTCACCAGGCACTAAATCAGGGGAGCTAGGTTTGCTGAACCACAGAGCTACAGCTGAGCATCTTCCAGCTGAGGCTTTCTTAAGGCAGCATGGAATGTCTTTTGAGCATTTAAATTGGCAGAGCTTTGTAACACTGCACAAGCAAGGTAAAGGCCATGGGGACACTTGGTTGAGGGGCTGAGGACAAGAAAAGAGGCATGCCTGTGGGCACAGCTGAGAAGAGGCTGCCCTGACCAGAGAACTGTATCCTGACCATTACTGATCCTGACAAGTAATCTGTTAATTTCCCTAATGAGCCCCACTGTCTGAGTTCTGTGTGACCATTGCAATGGATTATAGAACCCAGTAGAGAAATTTGGAAGACAACTATCTGGCCGACTGATTGGAAGAGATCAA